CAACAAAAAATGAGATTTTGAAGGAAATGTGTGATCTGCAGATACTTCTTTTAATGAAACATTAAAATAATTGAACCATTAAACAGGTACAAAACAAAGCACATATTAAAATACCGTGGATAGCCTCAAAGCATTTTACCATTTCCTGCACTGTTCCTGTTGTGGTTGTTTTTCTTTAAGTGAAGAATCAGGTGCAAAAAGATGAAGGGTGAGAAAGAGACAAGCGGGGGGTGCACCCAGCTCAAAGAGGATTGCGAGAAGAAAAGCAGGGCTCACCCGGGTGGGTTTACAGTCAGTTGGCTTTGCTTTTGCTGTCATTATGAACCTGGCTTAGTACAAAGTCTGTCTGAAATAGAGGGAGCTTACATTACGAGGGGCAATTCTTCTTCGTGTGGCTTTGTCAGTGTAATAGGTCAGTCCTGGTAGTATTCATGTTCTTGCATGTTAAATAAAGCTGAAGGTGATTATCCACTTGTCCCTTGGTGTCTAGGAGTTAGGGTATTTGCAGCACTGGTACACTGAGTTGTCCCCTTCTGTTCCACTTTGTTTTCCTGGTTTATTGTGTGGGGGAAATGTGTCCCCTTAACCCAGGGGTGCCACTCCAAGCAGCCTCCTCCTTGGAGATGCCCCAAATAACAATCTACAGTATTAGGACAAAAATCTCACCATTGCTTTTGTTTCTGAATGTATGTCAGCACTGGTGTCACCCAGCCCTGTGGGAAGAGGGACCATGGCTCATCTCCATAAGGACATCGTCTCCCTTGGGACCTCTTTTTCCCATGGACCCCACCTTTGGTGCCACTTGCTGAGACTTTCTGTGGCTCCACACACCCAGTTTTGCTTCTCCTCGCAGGAGCTGTCGGCTGGGGGAGGACCTGCATGGGGCAAATCTGCTAGTCTATCCTGTCACGGTGGCTATAGAAGTCCTCAAAAGTAAATATAAAAATACACAGGGATGCATAAAAAGAAAAGACACACTATTGCAGACAGATTATGCCAATCTGGCAGTGCTGACTGCTGACTTTACTGCTGGCATTTCCTCTCTGTGTTCCCCAGTGACCCAGTACTGAGTTGACCCCACCGGTTAGAAATCATACGGACATTTCACAGGCAGCATCTTAGATTTTCAACATTTGGTTGGGTGTCAGGTAGTTTTTTTAAAGCACTGACTGAAAGAAAGAATCCTGATACTACTTTCTGAAGTATTCATTACATAACCCTGTAATTATTTCAAAAACTACTTGTAAGTTTAATTGGCACATTCTCTCCTGTTTCTTTGCATTACATCTGTAGAGAGTCTTTCACCAGATGAAACTATCTCATTTTTAGTGCTGTTATTCTCATTAAGTATCTCCTCTGTGAGGTACTCATTTATTGTTGAACCAGCTGCTAAAAATGAAGGTTTTTCTAAAGGATGTGTCTAATCTTATTTTATATACTTGCTTGTTTTAATGAATTTATTGCATAGGTCTGAAACAAAGTTAATGTTGAAATACTAACATGCAACACACTATAAATGCTGTAGCTTATGGCTGTGAAGACTGAGCTACAGTTACATCCCTAGTAGTGGATTTTGGAGATGCACGTGGGAGATGACTGTTCCAAGTTCTTACTATTATGTCCTTCACATCAGATGGCATTCAGTGACAGGCATGGGGACAGTACTGTAATTACTTTGGTCCGTATTCATCTAGTATTTTTACTACTTTTCTGGAAGTGTAGCAACAGAAATGAGAGCAAATTAAGTCATTATGGAAGGAGTTATACTAGTTCAAAGAACTACATCAGAGCTTTAAAAACGAAAATGAAAACGAGAAGATAAGACATTCTGTAGTTTTCTTTGTTCTGTGATTTAGATGTATATATTGCCATGATTTCTTCCTTTTTTTAGTACCTCATTGCTGTAACAATTTAATTGGTCTCTATCTCCCTCCTTATTATCATTAGCAGAGGGATAAAGCCTTATCTTTCATCTGTTCAAAGTCAGCAAAGCTGGAAACAGATACTTTGTTAAATGTAATTCCTTTTGGTAAATTCATTTCTATCCGCGTTGCCCTGTGACCTTTTCATCCCCACCAAGATCAGTTCTGAAAACTGCAGAATGTGAAAGTACAGACTGTACCTTTGATGTTGAGTTAATTTAAAAAGAAAAACAATAATGAATACCTTATCAAACAATAGAATATATCATTATTGCTGATTGTTACCTGAGGAAACTTTGTTAGGTGTAATTAAGTTTCCTTGAGATAAGTATGCCCTGAACATTTCTGTTACCAATTTTTTATTTGTATTTTAATCTCGCAGTTTACATCTTGCCTAAGTAGGTTAGGCTCTAAGCTTTTTTCCCCCCATGTTATTTTTTCCCCAACTGTTTCTGTTACAAAGCGTGTCTGTAAGGAGAGTGGCACTATCGGAGATGCCAGTGTGTGATGGAGCGGCTGTCCGCTGCTCTTCACTCGGTGGGACAGCAGCTGCTGCAAGGAAGCATATCCTCACAGCCTCCCAGCTCGCTTCCCGTCTTCTGTCATGCCTTCTGCCGAAACCATTGGAACATGTTTTCTGTAGTAAATAAACCACAGGAGGGTTGAGTGAAGTGTCCTCTAAATAGGGTGTTAATTTAAGATTACTTAGAAACTTCAGTTAATACAGAACACAGCTTTGTGTTTGCTTAGCCAGGCTAATGGCGGGAAGCTCGTTACACCAATGTGCTTAAACCAGCATGTTTCACGTCCTTAAAATTTCATGGGTTTCTGGATACATCTGATTTTTCAGCTACTCCTTAGCAGCTTGGGTGTTGTGTTCTTGAGAGAAGGCCTGCGTGTCTGCCATTGTGCTGCGGTTCAGTTTGGTGGAAGCCAGGCAGAGCTGGTCTGCTGTGGTGTGGAAGGCTGGATGCTTGGTGGGCTTCAACTCTGCGATGCACTGTTGCTCATGGGTCAAACAGAGGTTGTCTGAGTTGTATTGCAGGAGCTGCCCTGAGGTGGGGTAGTGGATTTTGCCTGGGAGTGATTTTAAAAGATAAAGTCTGTGGCTTTGGAGAATTTCTCAGTTTGCACTGACTTTGTGTAGATTTATTGACATCTTTCAAAAATGAATTTTTGGGCATCCACGTTATGGTTTTCAGTACTTTCTCATAGACGATTAATGAACTTAGAGATGGAGAAGACACACTGAATCATGTGATTCTTCTTACTTCAGACTCATCGTGTGGAATATGTGGCTTTTCCTCAGAGAGCCTTCTGTGAACCCTACCCATCACATGAAGTAAAGGGGAATGCAGAACATTTCACCCTAAGTAGTGGTTACTGTCTGAGGTTCAGCTCCTGTTAACATGTTGATATTGTTTTGTGGCTGTAGTGTAATGAAAGTGCTTATACAATAAGGTGTCGTTCAGAGTTTTAAAGAATTCTTCTAGAAATGAGGAGGAACCCAAGGAGAAATACAAGGGAGATCACATTGTGGACCCAAAACTGGAGCAGTATCTGTCTGTAGTGGTGGCATTACAGTGGTGTAATTTTTCTGATGAAACAAATGTAAATTTGATTATTTAACACGCAGCAGAGTTAACTAGCTAAGCATTTTTCAACTCACACTTTCAGTAAAAAGTTTCTAGACAACCTGAGTTTACTTCTGCTTGTTTTGCATCTTTTACTGTTATATGTGAGTGAACAAATACCACTCAGTCTTTTTTTGTGGAAATTTCAGATTTCCAGAGAGTATTGATATTTGCAGATTTGGGGAGTGGGACTTCAGTTAGAACTTAGATTTTAGAAAACAAGGTCAAGCACTGAGGAAGCTCTCTCTCTACCGGTTTGAATTTCAAATATACTGATACTTGCAGCAAAAGTTTGCAGTCTGCAGATGGAGTATGAGGTTTAGAAGGTGTTAAAAAGTTCAGAAAGTGTAAATTGGAAAAGGGGTGATCTTTTGCTCATAGTTCACAAAGCAAAGACAGAGCTAATTTTGCCACAGATTATTTCAGCTGCTAGGCATAGCTTAGAAGTTCTTCAGAAAGAAAATTAATGAGTCCAATTTCACATTGAACAAATAGTAAATTAGGTGCCAGGCCACAGATTTAAAGAGTGCTGGGTTTGTAAGAAGTGGAAAGGAAGACGTTGGTGGTAGTCACAACTGGCTGCTCAAAACATTTGCAGTTCAGTGCAACTGATGCCATCTTTGTGGCAGTGACAAGTGGTGGGCCAAAGCCAGGAATCAGTGACAGGTGTTATATACTTCTGTTGCTTCTGCAAATTATTTGGGATGAACTCTTATTACAGAAGAGAATGTCCAAATCCACTATTTCTGAAGATATATATTCTATTCTCTTCTTTCACTGTTCTAAAACACAGGGATCCAGTAAAACAATGTCTTGCAAAGCCGTAGTTTTCTCTGGTATACATGTACTTCTCTATGTGTAAATAAATTTTACAAATGCAAATAAAAATTTGGTGAAACTATGGAAATAGACAAGGAATATTTCTGTGTCTGGACGCAGATGGTGAAAATGAAAGTTTCAAATTAATTTTTAAATTTTAATTTGAACTTGGGTGAAGTATTCACATCAACATGTAATGCAATAATAAGGAAAAGCAGTATTACTAATGAGTGCACAATGTATTTATTATAGGCATGCACTCACATCTTGCCTTCCACAGAACAAATGCTTTTCCTAGGTGTACTTGAGGTGTTTTCCTCATGTCAATTTATTGGTAGTTTGAAGTTTTTAATTTCTCTCCAGTACGGCCTCATTAATAGCCTCCTAGTGTATAAAACAGGTATTATTTTCTTTAAGGGTTTCAAAAGATTTCCCCTTGCTTTTATTACATTAGTGCATATTATTAGCATTGTCATCAGTTGTCCACTTTGCCACTGTGCTGAGGGAAGCATTTGATACTAATCTATGAAGTGCATTTGAAGAAATGTCCGGTGATACAAGCATTAAAACACTTACAGCATTTTCAGATAAAATATTTTTATTTTTTATTTTTATTTTTTTTTAGTACATGCATCATGAATGAATCTGCCTCTAGTGGAAATGGTCAAGAGTTTGATGTTTTTAGTGCTATGGACTGGAAGGATGGCATAGGTACTTTGCCAGGAAGTGACCTAAAGGTAAGATACATAATTTTTTTAATAAGTGAAATAAAAATGTTAAATGCCAAAAGAATGCATTTCACAAGCTGGTGTGTAGGTATCTGCTTTTATGAATAAAACATGAATCTGCAACTCTTGAGTTAAGAGACTGTAGCCTGTTAACTTTTAGCTCTGGAGTTTCTTGATTCAGTTTCTGGTGCTGGCACAGACAGCCATCATCCCTGTAGGAAGGCATAAATTAGCACTGCCTCACTATATAGACAGAAGTAATCAAGTGCACAAAATCCAAAAGAAATCTCAGAAGTGAAGTGTGAAAATTCAGTCCATTTAGAGCATTATATTACCGTATCACTGAGAATCTTTATACTGTCATTGATGCCCACAGTCTCATATTTTTAGTTCTTTTTGTTTCCAAAAAGGGTTTATCTTTGCTGTGCGTTTGTCATGTAGGTGCCTAGAAAAATTAATACAGTGAGTGCTTCTGAGCTTGGTATAGTTTAGAAATTTCAATGATATTGGAACAGTACTTTTCATTACATTTTTCACACTGGTTGTATTTATTGAAGTAAATTATGACAATTTTATTTTGTTTTCAAAATATTTTATGTATTTTTTTATTTATCTGATACTTTTTACTGTGTCATCAGAAGATGTCCTCTGCTGCATTAGCTAAAAATACTGATTCGATATTAGAGACCTTCTTGCACCTATTTCCTGTTGATTATAGTCAATATTTTCATGTCATTCCATTTAGACTAACATTGATGAGGTTTTCTCATAGTTTATTTTTTTAAAAGGAATCACTGAAGAAAATGTGTTTTTTGAAAGAACTTTGTATCTCTTGGGGCCTGATACAGTTTCTGTTGTTGAAGTAAAGAGTCAAAAAATGTTTGAAATTCAGGATGTACATGTTGTGAGAGTTTTTTTGTGGCTTTTGGGTTCTTTTTGTTTAAATTGCAGAACCCTAGAATAGATTCACAGAATAATTTTCTTTGGAAAGGACCTCAGGACACCACCTCTGAGCACCCCAGACCTCAGGCCAAATTAGATCAGGTTGCTCAGGGCCTTGTCCAGTATGGATTTGGTTATCTCCAGGGTTGAAGGTACCACAGTCTCTGTGGGCAGCCTATTTGACCACCCTCACAGTGATATTTTTCTTTTATGGATACTTTGTTGGAATTTTCCCTTTTACACCCGGTGCCTGTTGGCTCTTGTCCTGTTACTGTGCACGTCTGAGAAGAACCTGGCTTCATCCCCTCTATGTCCTCCTATTAACTACTGGAAGACAGCGGTAAAACCTCTCCTTCTCTTCTTCAGACAGATCAAACAAGTCGGCTCGGGTTCTCCTTGCATGTCGTCTGCTACAGCCCCTACTTGTTTTAGTGGACATCAGCTGGACTTGCTCCAGTAAGTCGGTGCCTTTCTTGTACTGGACACAGTAGTCAGCACATGGTCTCATCAGTATGAAATAGATGGGAATAGTCGGTTCCCTTGGACCGCTGGCTCCCTGCTTGCTAGAGCAGCCTTGGATGCTGGTGGCCGCCGTTGCTGCCAGGGCACATTGCTGACTCACGTTCAGCTGTAGGACTTCTTCTGCAAAGCTGCTTTCAGATAGCCAGCCCCCGGGCTGGACTGGTGCGCTCAGCTCTTCTGTCCTAGGTGCAGGGCTTTCCACATGCTTCTGTAGACCTTCATGAGATCTTGCTAGCCCATTCCTTCAGCTTGTCAAGGTCTTTCTGAATAGCAACCCTGCCCTTCAGTTTATTAGCCACTCCTTCCAATTTAGTAATTTGCTTTTGCTGACTGTATACATATAGAAGCCTTTTTTGTTGTCTTCTCTCATTTCTTCTCCAGCAGAGCTTTGGGTTTGCTAATTTGATCATTGTGCACTACAGCAATATCACTGTATACCTTCTCTATGCAACGTTTTCCCTGTTTCACCTTCTGCTTACTTCCTTTTCCATTTGAACTAAGTCGGGAGTCTGTAGTTCATTCACAATGGCCTTCATCCACATTTGCTTAACTTCTTGCACATTGTCATGCATCATTCTTCTAGTGTGAAGTCCTTGGAGAGATATCCAGATTTCCTGGGCCTATTTACCCTTTAAAGCAGTCTCCTGTATGATCCTGCCAAGCAAATCTTTGAACAAGCCCAAATCAGCCTCTCCTGAAGGCCAGTGCTGCTGTTTCAGTAGTTGTTTTGTTCGCTTCTTTCAGGACTTCAGGCTTCACCAACCCATGGTCACTGCTGCCAAGGCTATCACCAGCCTCCACATCCCAGACCAGTTCTGTACTTTTTTAAAAGCAGTCCAGGTTTTTAAAATTCCTTTCTATTTTAATAAGCAACATTGTGTGAAAGGCAAACACAGTATTGAAATGTTTGAGGAATACTAAAGGGAACAATCCAGGAAAACAGAGTAATCTCATATAAATCACTGGTACATGCTTTGTTCAGTTCTGGTTACCCTATGTCAGAAGAAACAAAACCAAAGCAAAGATTGGGTCATTAATTAGTAAAGGAATAGGAAAACATCCATACAAAATGAGGGAAAGGACTGGGAGGTGTAGCTCAGGGTAAATTAAAAAAATCATGTAAGACAATTCTGAACTCTGTCCTGGTCAGAAAAGCATGAGCTTCCTTTTAGGGTTTTTCTTCTGTTTACCGGTATTCGATTTTTGGATGAGGTGCTTTCTTTGTTACATGCGTTAGGGAAGACATAGGTAGAGGTGCAATGGTAATATACCCAGAATGATGAAAGATACGTAGAGAATCGGCCAAGCAGCTTATTCTGGGGGGGTTTTGTTTGTTTGTTTTTTTGTTTGTTGTCTTGTGGTTTTGTTTTTGGGGGTTTTTTGGTGTGTTTTTTTGTGTTGTTGTTTAGGAGGTTTTTTGGTTTTTTTTTTTTTTGTTTGTTTGTTTGCTTTGTTTTTTTAAGTACAAAAGCCATTCTAACACTGAAAGAAGAATATTTTATAAAAATGCAGACGTAGTCTGAGGTGATCATTGGACGAGGGAGTATCAAGACTATGTGAAAGACGAGGCGTTTATATAGGTATCAAAACAATTTGATCTGTTAGAACAGTAAGGATTTTTAAGCTTTCAAGATAATTGTAACAACTAATTTTTCAGTGCTGCTTCTAAGTACTGATGGTTAAAAGGGTGTTTGATCCCTTGAAACTGTGAATGTGATCGTGGAAGGTACGTTGTGCTCTTTGTGGAATTCTCAGAATAGGATTGATGTGGGTGGTTTACCTGAACTGTCCTGTTAACAGAGTATTTTAATACCGTGTCCTGAACCTAAAGAAAATGGCCTTATATAGCAGTTACTTCTTGTAAGCTTGCATGTGTCTTTCAAAAAAGGTAATAGACTTGTTTCACTAAAGATATCAAACCACTGCCATGTATTTGCATTGAAATGCAGTGGAAAAATCCAGTGAAAACACTGTAGTAGCAAGATGCACAAATCCAAAGATTCTATTTTTATAGAATGCCTGATTTTTTTAATAATAATTAATAAGAAATAGCTGAACTATTAATTGCAGCCAACGTATTGCTTACATTCTCACATTTAGTCTTTTCTCTTCATAAAAAGTTCGGAAAAATTGTCTTTGAACACTCAGATTTGGCAAACTATATTGTATGAGCACGTTTTAAGTTAAATGTATACCGAAACGTTGAGATGTCGCTTTTTAATAGAGAAGTTTTGGGGAGTTACCTACTTAAGTCCTTATTTTTAGTCATGTAAGTCGTATGGCATTTGCTTGTCTTTACTGCTTGCAAGATGAGTTTTCATGCTTTCTTTTTCATATGCGCTTTTTAAGAAATCTCTTTTATTGTGTATTATATTAATATTCAGCCTCCTCAGATTATCAGGCAAGTATATCTGAGCAACCATTCTTTTTAAGAACCACTTAATTTTTGTGAATATAAGTTCCTCAGTGAATAAAAGCTGGTAAGAAATTATTGTAAGTAGTGTAAAATGCTTGAAACATTTACAAATAATTGTTTCAATATTTTCTTATCATTGTTGAAATTTAACTTTTTTTATGACATAGAAGAAAAACTAAATCAGAAATAGGAAATTGCATCATTTATCTTTGTTACGAAGTCCTGTGGGCAGTTTCATGCCTACCAGACTTCACTGAGATAGGCTGCACGCAGGGGCAGTCACTTCCCAGTGTAATCAAAACAAGGGAGCCCAGTCAGATACCAAGCCTCTGTTCTCAGCCATGCCATGGTCTCTTACGTCTACATCTGTTTTCACATTGGTAAAATGCTGAAAATGTTATTTTGCTATGAATTTGGGCAGTGTTAATTGATAGATTTTTGTCACCTGTAGTTGGAAAAGGCTGTGGAAATACATTCTCATACAGATTTTGTTAAAACTCTCTAGCAAAAATAGTCATAAAATAATTAATACTTCTTGAACACTGCTTTAAGCATGCTGTGTGACATAAATAGTGAGTGGTTGTGGAAAACACTAGAATTTCAAATTATACAGGGAATAGGGAGAATTAAAGATTGTTCGGTATGATGCACTGAGAACAAAAAATTTAGCATTGTATATTAGTTCTTTCAAGATGTTTAAATAAAACAGAAAACTTGAATTCCAGTAGAGTTTAAAATAGTTTACAAATTACAGAATGCCTTCATGTGGCAGGCTAAGTAATGTATGCTCATCTGAAAAACATCAGTGCTTACCAGTTACTCTGCATGTTGTGAATGTAAATGTGAAATACTCTTCTTTTTTTCTCTTTTTTTTAAATCTCTGTGCCGAGTGCAGACAGTAACACCATCACTTCAAGATTTAAATGTACTCATTAAATTGGAAAAGCTGTAATAATTTACAGTCACTTCCTACTGCAGTGACAGAAGTTTATGAAGTACTTCGTAATGAGTTTTCTAGTGCTTGTGTTTGGAAAGTGAGCTGTTATATACCGCATGGACAGAATTTTGGTCATTGTTTCCAGCTTGCAAATTGTGCTTGAATGAAAAAAAAAATAAAAATAAATTTGAT